AGGACCGTCGTGCCCGTGCACTTTGGGGAGACTACAGAATCGCATTAATCACAATCCCAGTGGTGATCATGAGAGCTGCTAATTACGGTACGCATGTGGTCGCGTGGCCACTAGGGACTATGAATCATGCGCACCCTGTGCCTCTATCACCCTTTTTACGATTGTTTCTGATGATAGGTTCTAGTGAGAATTCGAAACTTGAGGCTAATACACTTCTTGTTCCAGCGATCACAGCTTCTTCTGAACTGCTTCCTGGAACTCTCCTGTTCGTTTCGATCAGCAGAGGAAAGTATGTTATGCGCGACCTACTCTGCTTCGAGCCTTGTTCTTTATTGAATGGCTCCCATTTGATAATATCAAGAAATCGCCCATCTAGACAGATTCTGAAGGGCAATCGTTGCTCACAGTTTACTACGGAGAGTTAAACGCCCATGATGTAGTGCTATTCCTGTAAAGGAGAAGTTGCGAAATAAATCCGTATGGAACATCATGTTCCGGCATGCCATCGAGTCACATTAGAAAGTCATTCGGAGCGAATTAAATTCGGACACTTTTCACCGACATATCCAGCAAGCTAACAATTATTCCAAGGAAATCGATCCTACACGGGATGGAACCTACCATACAAACATAGCTTCGTTCGCACACAATATCCTCTAGTGTGCCGTTAATCAGGGTTTCACCACCACAAGAGGCGTTCGTGATTATCGGGTGAGGTAAAGCCAGTGCAGCGGTTTTATTGCTTACACTTTCGTTGTGTGGTTGGTCGCCGATGTCCTTGGACCTACGGGAAACTAGCACTGTCGTCCCACGTAATTCTTTATATCATCATCACCTCAAATTGTCCTAGACTCTTATACCCAACGTGGTTTTATAAGGGTACTCTTAATTGTTTATTTAGTCGACTGACGTTTGCTAGATATTTCACGCTTGTGTGTAGCGATCTCAGTTGTGTGGGTCAGAACTGCCAGCAGGCAAAAAGAACAGTAGATAGTATTGCCGGCAAAGAAAAGGGAGAGTGGAATGGCCATTTATGGCTTATTAGTCATTTTCAGCTAGCCACACCCAGACCCCAGTGGTGCACCACCAGAGGCTCGAACCCGTAACCGTTGTGATCGGAGTCTAACGCACTAACCATGGAGCCCCGAGCTCGTTGTCTAGCCCATTTAACTCGGGAGATATTTACACTCGTAGATGAACGTCCACCGATCGCCAAGTCACTTGTTCCACTCTGTGTTGTGTTTCATTCCTCGGGTCCTGACAGCAGCCGTAGCGACTAGTAGTCTAGGCAGCTCAAAAAGTTGCAAGTTCGAGCCTCGGGCGGTGCGCCGCTTGGGATTGGGT